AGCTTTAGCTGTATCCCTGACCCTGGGTTATGACATGTTAAGGATCCAACATATTATGAGTTCTAGTAGATTTTTGATCTGACTAATGACTGACAAATCCATGAGTGCTTTGCCTATGACAGTGAAATTATTTCTTATACTCAACCTCTCTGCAGGATATGTTATATTAGTGGAGGTGAACGTAAACAAAGTGAGGTATTGAGGAATAGGCTATAGCCAAATCCTTTAGGATGTTTTATAAGACATGTGAGACAATATTTAACACATTGATGCCTCAGACAATCACTGATGATGCTGGGGACTGAAGAATGGAGGATTGATACACATTTTGCAGGATTACATTGGTTGACCTGATCAGGCCCGGTGCTATAGTGCAGCCTGCTGGCATGGCAACTGCATTGCATTTAGTGAGAGAATACACACGTACAGGTTACTGCTTCAGGATTTAAAAGATGTTTTTGCACCTCTAACAGGAGAGCAGTCTTCAAATCCAGGCTACTGTTCGAGCCGGATCGCAGACTGAAACATGTGCAGAGTGTCCAGCATTTTACATTAGTGTGATAATCATTGATGTCACGAGATAACAATTGTTGCTGCTGTTGCATTCCCTATGCTTTTAGTAATGCATTAAATCCATGGCAATCAGCTGGTATTTCCTTTTCCTTACCTTTGCATCCCAAGTTGTTGTGTTATAGACTGGACAGGAATAAGGTTTCACAATGGGCCCAGGTGCAGTGATAATACTAATTCCTCTCCAATATATTGACACATCAGAAGTTACAGAGCAGGAAACACAATCACTGCAAGCGGACATAAGACAGTTAAGATGTAGCACAAGAGAAACATAATGTATACATCTTCAATTTAGGTGCTCTATGTAAAATAAAATTCCATTCCCATTATAGCAACTATTCTTCCTGATATTCTTAACCATTCTCTTCCTGTCATATTAGGATTTGTTTTGGTTCTTATTATAAGTTGGCCATTAGCTGCCTTTTAAAACTACACAGTTTTTCTTTAACGGCAACAAATTATTGGGTATTGTATCCACTAATGCAGAGAATGGCATTACTTAAAACAGGGATAATCTGGCCTTTCAGTTAGCATTCCCACATTCCTCTGAAGGGGATTAATGGAATATGTTTTTAAGTACTCAATCCTTCATTAAGAATACACTGTTTGGCATGTGTACATGCTTCAAAAGGCAACAGAAGATGTGAAAGAGGGAAAATTGCTTTGCGTCTCGTCGATAGTTGAAGAAATCAATTGAGTCATCGCGAAAAAACACAGCATGTCATGTTCTGAGCAGAAGCCCAAGGTTGAGACTCACATGGCAATAAAAGCCTTAGATGGAAATTGTACTGTGTCCTTTATGGATGTCTTATATTTAATATGTGTGGAAAAACACAGAGATACAGAACAAGAACTTTATTAAAGCAAATACATTAAACATTTTGTGATCAAAACATTTAAAAGATGGTTACATAAATAACCTTAACATTCAGCCATGTATACTTAGATTAAGCAACAAAAACATTTAAGTTTAAACAGCTAATTTACACAATTCCAGATTGATGTATTTCTAAACCAAATATTCAGTTAATTCATTTAAAGATTTAATGTTTTTTGGTATAACAATGCACCGGTATTTGAAACTATAACAACTACAGGGTAAATCTTCACAAATAAATATTAACGCCACATGTAAGAAGAAGGAGATGCACAACAGATCCTGGGAGGTTTCTAACGATAGGTATAGTGGATGTAAAATCCTGCTTGCATCTGGATTTCTAAAGTGGAATAAGACACAAATTGTGACGTGAAGCCCTGATAACCCGATCCCTTTGAACATTAGATTTGATGGCAGCATTTCCTGAACAAACTGCAATAGCAAAACAGACCATCACAAAGACTATAGCGATAACTATAGTATTTTAATAGAGCAGATTGGTAAAAAAAAAAGTCATCACAGAGGAATGTTAAATGCAGTGTCGTTCTTCAGGCGCTGCAGCTCGGCACTCTGCTTCTTATTCTTCTCCTCTAGATAGTCAATGCGATCCAGCAGTATTTCAATATAGTCCTTCTTTCTTCCCCTGTATCTTTTGGCAGCATCCCTGTTCAAAGGGACATAGGCTCCTCATAATACTCACTGAAAACCCTGAATGTTCTTGTTTTTGCTGGTGGTGGCATATTGAATAATTCAGAGCCAGAAAACATTGACATCATCGTGTAAACACATTTTACAGCAAGGACAAGGAGCGTTTTGTTTGAGTGTGCATCTGTGTCTGTATAAGCAAAACCACAGTCCATCACAAAGAAGCAGACAAACACGATCAGCAATATCACTCGACTTTGTGTCGGTAAATATCTTTTAAGGATCTAAGCTCCTCGATCAGAGTCTTGTTTTGATTTTCAAGCACGGCCACGCGATTTTCAAGGCATTTGACATATTCCTTCTTCTTTCGCCGACACTCCCGGGCGGCTTCCCTGGAAGCAACAACAACAGTAAACGTGTAAAAGAAACCATGACATCTTGGCTTCCCTCCAAGATACAACAGCGACGTCCTTCTAGCCAGGAATCAGTTTACACCAAGGAGAAAACATTTCGAAAAGTTACAAAAGGTTTCTTCCAGAGGGTACAGAAAGTTTGGTGAACAATAACTATGACCATGTGTGGGATGCCTTCGGGATAGTACGAGAACCAATCAAAAGAGGAGAATGTCACAACGAAAAAAGAATCCAAGATTTACTAATGACGGATTATGGGATGGCAGGGAACATGCAAACAAGGAAGGTGTGAGTCATTGCCAATGGTGACACAAGGCTGTTCACAGAAAACACACAGTAAGTTCAAGGTTCTACAGACAGCGAGCAAAGAGCATGTTATAACACGAGGTAATCAATTTTGCATACCAGCAAACAAGACCCAAACTGACCCACTTACAAACACAAGTCGGTCATCCAACTTTCTGTTTACTCCAAACATGTGCAACAGTGCAGATAATGGGGAGTCAGACAACTTAAGAGTTAGCAGCTAAACACCCAGGATGGAGGAGAATCATGCGGTGGGATGATGACAGGCTTGTGGATGGTATGATTACATGCAGTCATTGTCCTACGTTGTCATTTTGTATTTGCTAGGTGTTTGTGTATTACATGGTAGGCACAGCAGAAAGAGTGAATGCGGTCAAAGTGACGTGTTTAAGGCCTATATCAATATTCACATTTGAGAGTA